CAGGGTATCTCCTAGTCGAGCAGTCTCGACTAGAGTCTTCTTACTTGTTTTCAATGGGTTCAGGGTATAAAAAACATTCCGTTACTTTCGGTTAGATTTAATATGTTCACGATATATGACAAAACAAACATCTCAAATTGTATGTATATTTTCTAATAAATATTTATTTGAAATTGTCTTAAAAGTATAAATTTCATTGTCGAGCACTTACTGCTCGGTAGCACCATTATTTACATGAACATGCGTACATACATATATGCTATGTAATATGATATAGAATATATGTCCATCCATCAATTGAGCTAAGCTAATCACAGATTTCTTCTTAAATTCGGATTAGTTCAAGAAATTTATCTACATATATGTATATGAACCATGGCATATCCAGCCGATGGTGTTGTTAAAGGCATAATCTAAAGATCAGTCATTCCAGGCCCCTTAAAGAGATTCAAGTCCAAGACTTTATCACGACCTTGCTGTTTACTCATAAGGCAGCATTCTTAAGTTCATATAATATAAGTAATACGTGTAACATACATATGTTCAATAAATGTTAACTGCAAATATTTTGGAAGTTCTTAGTGTATGTCAAATTATGTTTTGTTATTTAAATTTTAGTACTTAAACTACGTTTATATAAGGAACTTGTGAGATCGTAATTATATGACTGTTAATCAATACTAAATATGCCAGCACAAAGTACAAAGCACAAATAAATAAAAAACAGTATAAGCAGAAACAAAGTAAAAATAAAACCCCAACTAAGTGGTAAGCTAAACACAATTTTCTGTTATCTAAATATAAAGATTATATTAGATTTAATTATTTTGAAAAGTCATGCAATCCAAGTTGGTGCTCCTCTATGTGAGATGTTTAGATTCATATTGCCTGGAAAGCTAAATACAAATTTGGAAAGAAAGAAATGGATTATTGCTCAATCTCAATGCAAACTGCCTTGGCGAAACGAGACCAGCTGACGTCCTTCCAAATGGGCAGCTTCTCCACTTGCTTCCAGTCCTCGAACTCACCCAACACCGAGCTGCGAATAGAGAAAATGTAAGCATATGTGCTTAAATTCAAATCTAAGGCAAGCGAAGCGGGCTTCGTAGTTACCGGTGCATGACCAATGCCATTGCAGTTTTCGGGCCAATTAGAGGCAAAGTCTGCAAATCCTTAACGCTAGCCGTATTCAGCAAGGATAATAGCTCGGCGCGATGCTTGAGCAAGCGCTCATTTTGGGATCCCACGGTACTATCAGCGGCAGCCGCTGACGTGGCACGTGTTTGGGATGTCCCTTCAGTGCTAGCAGCTCCTTCGTTAGATTCAGTTGGCGGCCCTCCCGATTGACCGGCAATACGGGAGCTGCGGCGCAGAGGCCTTTGATCCTGGCCATTACTGGTATCCTGAATAACGTGAACACGACGATTCGAACGGATTATAAGATGTGCAGCTATTGGGCCCAATGTGGAGCCAACTGCCTCTGGGGCCGATGTTGCAGTGGCTGAAGATTGGCCGCTCATTGGAGTCGAATTGGCATTCTGATTGCTGTGAATATTAGGGCTGCTGGTAAAAATACGGAAAGTTGGCCGAGGGGTTGCATTGTCCTCCTCGGCGATGGAAGATAGATCCGAGGTAAACTCAGATGGACGCTCAGCGGCAAACGGCGGCTGCTCTGCCTGGGCTTCTACCTTGACCCTCTGCTCTAGTATCCCGCGCTGCAGTTCCTCGAACTCCTTCTTGAGCTTCAGAAAGTCAGATACAGTTGGCATAGTCACGTTTGCCCTATTGGTATCGTTCTCGTCCGACAAGGGCAATACGGCATTTTGGCCCTGGCAAGCACTGTCAGTAAGCAGAAATCATGGTCAATATTCATCTTCCTTTTTTCTTAACAAATGACATATTCTATTTACCATCTAATGGACCTTGCTGCCAAGCATACATTGGTATGAGAATGTGGCAATGATTGCACTGTCTGTGCCCTCCTGAAGGAGTTGCTGGTGCTGCTGCGTGAAACTGGATTGGCGTTGAGCGGTGGTCGGCGCCTGATATTGACGGAGCTTGGCAGCAGACGTCCCAGGTATTGCCTAGTCTCTTGAGAGGCCATCGGCTCGGCGGCGCGCTGCAATCAGTAAAATTTATATTTGATATGACATGTGAGAGCGACCGACTAGTAGATCCCCTCAAGGAAATGAATAAGTACAATAAATGCAAGGGAAAGATGGGCAGTTAACGGAGTTACCGGAGCGACTGTGCTTGGACTGGACTACATACTGGACTGGACTGTATATCTCCACACTTTGAATTTTTCAATTTAGCTATATGCTTAATCCGGAGAGTCTAGCTCTAAAGATGTATGAGATATAATTCTATAGCAAATTGTTTACACAAATAAAGAATATTTCTTCAATTTTTTAAAATAACTCGATAAGCGAGTGATATGGGAGAGGAATAGACAGACAGACCGGCGGACACGTCTTGATGGATTCGTAACGAAACCAGTATACCTCGACTTGTCATTTTTACTGAGTTTGAGTGCAGCTCGAGTTCTGCGGTTGCGCTTGCGGTTTATATATGCGTGCTATAAAAGCAATCAAAGGCTTCGCACCGGCCTCAGTAGACGGGCAATGGAGCAACAGGAGGATCTGCCCAATGCCAGCGTGCGGCAGACTCTTGAGAAAGTGCTTGGGCGCAGCGACTACACGCTCGAGCTGGCCTGCGCTAAGGGCAACAACTACCTGGGCATTGTGTGGCGCATTCGAGTCCCGCCGGAGCAGAGTCTAGTCCTGAAGCTGCCGCCCCAGAATGCCGTCAGACGCAAGCAATTCTTTGCCCGGCCGTGCTTCAAGCGCGAGGCACTGGCCTACGAGCAGTTCCTGCCGCTCGCCAACAGATTTCAGACAGAGCGTAAGCTCGAGGAGGCGCAACAGTTTCGCCACTACGCGCACCACTTGGCCACGCGCCAGGACGAGCCCAACGAGTGCATTGTGCTGGAGGACTTGTGCCGCGCTGGCTACCAGATGCACGATCGGTTCGCCGAGCTGACGCCCGCGCACGTCTCTCTGGTCATGAGCGCCTATGCCAAGCTGCATGCGGTTTCTCTGGCCATGAAGCAGCGACAGCCGCAGCAGCTGCTGCCGTTCCAGCAGATGCTGGACATATTTGAGCAGCGGCGCTCCGACGAAGGCCTGGCTGCCTACTTCGAGCAGCTGAAGCAGAGCGCACTGGACGCCCTCTGTCCGCAGACCGACTGCAGTTACATAGAGCGCCTGCGAGAGTATTTCGGGCGGGGCAGTTACTTTTCGATGCTCACATCGCTGCTCAGCGGCTCCAACTGCGAGCCATTTGCAGTGGTCTGCCACGGCGTCAGCTGGAACAACAATTTCCTGTACAGATGCCAGCCGGGCAGCGAGGAGCCAGCGGAGGTCTGCCTCATAGACTGGCAGCTAATGCGCTACGCCTCGCCCGTCACCGACGTGGCCTACTTCCTGTTCAGCTGCACCACGCGCGACTTTCGACGGCAGCACTACGAGTCAATGCTCGAGCTGTACTACGAAGCGCTGCGACAGCAATTGATCAGGTAAGCTGAGCTCCTCTCTGAGCAACTTCTCCTGCTCTACACTTTTTCTGCAATCTTCAATCCTGAAAGATTGGGCGAACGGCCAGATGTCGTATTCCCACTGTCGGCGTTCAAGCAGCAGCTGCATGAGAAGGGCGCCGTGGGCCTGCTGCTGGCCATGATGGTGTTGCCCATTGTGACCATTCGCAGCGAGGATGCGCCCGACCTGCAGGCCATCAGCGACCTGGTCGAAGGCGGCGCCGCAACCAATTTACGAAAAGTCGGCTTCTTGGGCGACGGCAACGAGCTGCTCTACAAGCAACGCATGCGTGGCGTCATTTTGGACTGTATAGATTATAATTACATATAATTGTTGTATACGTGCATTACTTACACTATTCTCAAGCAACTGCAGCGAAAGTTGTGGATTAATCTTCATCTGCTTGGCACTCTGGGCAAAGCGAATCGTAGACAGAGTCTCGTTGAGGTCACAGGCATGTGGACTGAGGCAGACCAACAGTGCTAGACTGCACCTTGGATTCAAAGAATCTAAAAAAAAAAAAAAAAAAAACATTGTTAATTTACTCAACTAGGCAAGTAGTCGAGTAGTCCATGAGTTACTCCGAGTCCTGAATTATCTAGGTTCTGAAAGCGAACATAAAACAATTCAAAATTATTTTAGTTCTCAAGCTTGTAGCTTCAGAATCAAATACCATGTGTAATAAAAACAACAAAATGAAACAAGTAAGAACGTTGCAGTCGGGCGTTACCGACTGCGTAATACTCATGCATACCCCATCAGCAATTTAGTAGATAAGTTTGGATCCTATACTGTAAAAAAATCATTTCTCATTTCATTTTTCTCGATTTGTCACGCCCCTACGGCAACCTAACTGCAAAATTCGGATGCTTACTTTCCAAAAATTAGAAAATTACAGGGTATTTTTCGATATGCCATGCCCCTAGAAAGGTAGAGGCGGCTACTAGTAACCCAACTATCTAAATTTGAAGCTTCTAGCTTTTATACTTTAGGAGATGTAAGCTTTTGCGATTTGCCACGCCCCCTATTCGCGGACAAATATCCGCCAGAGCTTTTTCGTCTTAAGAGGTCAGTCCGATTATATACACCAAATTTCAGGTTTCTAGCATCAATAGTGTCCAAAATTTACCAGAATTTAAAATATCATCACTACATCTTTGGGTCTGATTTGCCACGCCCGAAAGGGTGTAGACATACATATATAATTTGTTCATTATTCTTTATAGATATAGACATTAGCTCACGTGCAAAATGTTGACGCTCTAAATTCTAAATCTCAGTTTACTAGCTCTTTAACTATATATTTTAGCACTTTATAAATTTGTAGGTCTAGGCATGCACAGAAATTTTGACCTTGCTGCCAATGCGTTTTCTAATTGGCCAAATATTCCGTTAAATGCCTTCTGTGTGACTCAACGGTCTTTCATGAAATTTTCAACATATGATCTGCCCTATCAAATATTTGTCAGGTAATTTGTAGCCCCCATCCAAAATATTACAAGGCAAGGCACATAGACACATACATATACACATTATAGTACAAATACGCTTAAAAATAAATGACAATTTACATACCCTGCAGAACAGTTGTTAGAATGGACTCACGATAGGGTACCAGTGAGTTGCCAACGGATATGGATTCCATCACTCTACTGATGCTCATGAGTCCCATATTGATGTAAACACCTTCGGTGCGAGCCATGCCCTCGTTGCCAGTGCGACGCACACTCTCGGAACCGGCCAAATCGACGATGTTGAGGCGCGAACGTTGAAGCCCCTTATGAATATGTATACTCACAATGGCATGAGAGCGAGAGCTGCTGCCGTTCATGTTGGTGGCACGCACGTGACGGTTCCTGGTGCCCTTCAACAAAATGTGCATCATATCCTTCTGACTCTTCACGGCCAACAAGGTGCAGCCAGCAAAACGCTGGCCGCGCGAGGAAATCGGCTTATTTGCGTCGAGCGCAAGCAGATCGTAGGCCTTCTCATTATATACTTCTATAAATGAAGCAAAAACCTCTCCGATTGCAGCGTGGTTCTCATTTTGGTCATTAATAGACAAATTGGTCAAGAAATCTTTCAGGCAACGAGGCACAATGCCGGCACGCTCCTCTGACATTTTCTACAGAGTTAATCAGATGCTCAATCAGCTCGAGCTGCTCAAGAATACATATGTATGTGTGGAGCACTCACCTCAGCAGTTATGCCCATGGAATAGCTTTTGCCAGTTCCTGTCTGGCCATAGGCCAATGCAGTGCAGTTATAGCCGTTCAATACCTTCATCACCATGGGGTGCATTAAAGCTGAGTAGATTTCAGCCTGCGAGGCTTTCGAGTCGAAGCTATAATCAAAACTGAACACGGAGCCATTGACAACCACTGCCTATATGAAGAAGCCATATTTAATTTCAATTGACAGGTTAAATTACCATTGAACATGAGCATGACAGATGCAATTTTTATTGCACGTCATATTTACCTTGGGATATTCCCTGGCGATACTTATAACGCTTTTTTCACCGATGTTAACGCCATTAATGAGCAATTGACGGGGGGGAGCTTCTCGCACCGCAACAATCACGGAATCGGTGTGAACTTCCATCTTTCTTACCTTTACTTTTTAGTTATATGTGTTTAATTAATGATGTTGCGCGATAAATCGTTTGAAAAATTATCTTCAAATACTGCAGAACTGGTAGTTCTTAACTTTGAAATGTCTGAAGAATTTATTCTTTTCACTAAATCTTACAGAATTTTTTTATGTCGGAAATTGACAATTTAAAGTTAACGATAACACTCTCGCGGCACGATTGCAAAGACCGGCAGCATCGATGTCAGTCTCTACGATGACTTTCTGTTCGATGTGCAGGAATGCCAACTTATTCCATAATGAAATAACAGCCGTGCACCACTGTTAAAAAAGCGCAAACGCAAAAATCAGCACCGATACTTCTAGTGTTAATTAACTGTTCTGTTAGTGAAGCTATATGTAAACCATGTGCTCTGTTAATCTATTTGAAGTTCGGCGCGGCCCAATTCAGGAAGAAGACCAAACACGCATGAAATATTGGTGAATCTTAGAGAAGTCAGTGCCATCACGATATTACAATTACTATTACCAATCGATACATTCAAAATAAAAGTCATATTTCTGCATTGGACTTGTAAAAACAGAAAGTCTAGTACTTTCTTTTCAAGTGTCAAACTAAAGTCGATAATGAAAGTAAAACATACATATATTTTGTAGTGTTATAATGTATTTTATTTAGAAACTAATGAATTTTCTTTGATACAATGAAGACAGACTTCTAACGGTCACAATAGAGTTGATACTAAGAAAGCACCGACTATTGAAATAAACTGATTTTATTTCGAATCATCAGTGAGTAGCATTATTTATACACAGTTTAATCAAATTGTTTTCAAGCAATTTTGTTTGTTTATTTTTATATTTATATTTATTTTTCTTTAAATATGGTTTATAGCACCGCATCAGGTTTATATAGAGTTAATATGTATGTATGTGTGTTTGCCCAATTCTTCGTTTGGTTTTACGTTTTCGTATTATTTTTTAGGGTTTTAGATTAAGTAGCTCAACATTTGCATGAGTATCCGTATGTGTGTATGTATGTATGAATATTAATATATTTACATTTTTTGCATACAGCTAATAGAAATCGTAAACGAAACTCAAGTCAAAATTTCAATTTGCGTCTTTAGTAACTTAACCGCTGCTCCAAAGCACAATGATAATAAAACAAACATCCAATTACAATTAAAAATAAAAAAAAAATAGAAAATTACAATAAAAATTATAATTAGTAATATACAGAGCACAAGCAGCAGAGAGAATGAAAGAGAAAGAGAACTCAAATATGGATGCGAGAAATCTACATTTACACATAAATACGCCAAACATACATATGTATGTATGTATATTGGAGCTATAATTTATCAACATATACAATACACATGCCTATATCAAATTAAAGACTGTTTGCTCATATGGCATGCAAAATTCTACCAAATCCGAGCTCCCTCGCTTTCGCTCTCTTTCCCTCTCCCTCTCTCTCTCTATCTCTCTCGCTCTCTCTCTATCTCTCTCTGTGCATCTGTGATTTCTACAGGCGTACGTATGCAATATGTGTATAAATATATATCTTTCATATATATATATATATATATATATATAT